TGAAGGGTGGGATATGGCGTGAATTTACAGGGTACAGAGGAATAACACCTGGGTCTTCAGGAATGGCAACGCATGGGGGGTATTATGGGCGAATCAGTATACTCTGTTATGTCCATGGTACTGCTCATGTCTATAGGCGACGGTTACCACTTTCCATCAGGTGGGCCGTCAGCTTGTTTGCCATTCTAAGTCGTATAAAAAAAAAACAATTAAATCGACTAGTAGAGAACACTGTCCGATGTCCACCAAATGTACATAGAATTTTACTGTGCATTAAAGTTTAAATAAATAATAAACATATATATATTGTTGTATTGTGCTCCTGGCATAGAATGGAACAGTTCTTCCAGAGGTGACTAAGGAAACTCAATAGTCTAGCGATGGATAGTAGCATCCCTCTTAAAACGCCACTAAAGCCTAACTGCGGTTGCTAACCCGCCTGCCAAGCATGGCAACTACTGGCAAAACTCTCCTTATGAGGAAGAGACCTATATTAAGCAGTCGACAGTTAACGGCTAATATAATAAAATAAGGAATAAAAATATATAATAATACAATATGACACTTAAACTACCATCATATTCAACTACAAAGTCGTGTAAAACTGGCCCCCTCTTGCATGGAACAATTTATGGTAATTCTCTTAATATCGAAAAGAATTTATCTTCGATAAAAGATTATTTGCCCATAGTGCTAGCTGAATACGTGTGTATTACTAATCAATAACCTGAGTTATATGCAAAATCTTCAATATCCGAACCTAGATTTCATTTTAGATCAGTCTGGATTAACAATATCTAGATAGGGCGTTTCTTTATAAACGCTTCGTCAAAAACCGCTCAACTTTTTTTATTCTTTAATTCTCTATTGTACACACTAGTTATAAGAATATGACAGAGGTAATCAAAAGTACAAAGGCGAGCTTAACTCTGATAGAGTTTTCTTCCAGCAACACCCAAAGTGGAAAGGAGCATCAATGTCGACAGATACAGCAGTGTACCATACAATATTGTGACAATTTTTAAACACACAAAATTAAATTAATTACATTATATTTAATCGTACAAATACACATATACATATACATAAATATATACCCAAATCTATGCATATACTTACACACACATACATATATACATATAATATACCTACATATATAGACAAATAAATATATGTTCATAGAGATAGAAGATGCTCTTTAAGTCTATTCTTAAAAATATTTAGGGATTAACTCTCACGGATAGATATGAGAAGAAAATTCCACAATCACAATATTCTTGTGTGATGAATTTCATAAGTTGTATACCAGATTTAAATAATCCATCAGTGTGTACTTAAATAAAGAAAAATGTATTGTACTTATTACTTTTATGAATGAAAATTATCACGGTTTGAATTAATAGATAAATAAAAATGTATTAGCATTACAAGGATGCAAGGTAAAGAAACAATAATAGACAGCCTTATCGATAAATAGGTAAGTTTCAGATAGAAAAGAATTTATTGATTTATTTAAAGAAAAAACTATGCTTGCTAAGATTGCTTTTAAGTGACTGCGTTTTGGGACGTTTTTCACTCGACGCTACATTTAAACATAGTATATGGTGTAAGATCAATGTATATAAGGTGTTACCTTATATATAATATACCTATATATTTACAGCTACTATTATTCCTCCACTGCACTGATAATATGTCAACAGTACTGCGACATGGCGCATTGTGTTCGACCATTTGCTAATTATCCACCGGATCGCTTGCATTTGACGTGCATTCGTTCTATAATTGAGTGATTCAATGCAATCCCGGTGTTTGTGTGGGCCATTGTGTTAGAATTTGCGTATGTACATAATGAACAGATCGGTAGAAATGTATTATCAATTAAGCAGTACAAAATGATTGATCACATTATTGGATACTACATACCATTCAAACAGAAGTCATTTACTTACGTATTTTTGTTTTTTGGTGGGTAAAAATGGAATGGTAACCCCGCCTGTGCTAACGGGATACGCTGGAGAATAAAAACGGGCCAGTTAACCTATCCTGATGAATTCTATTAGAATTAGCCACGATGGTTTCCAGGGGGAACCGCATGGAGGTCGACCTGACAAGATATATTGCTAGCAATGGAACTAATAGCTTGCATTACTAACAATCCCTTCCCCCCTTTACTTACGTACTTCAGTTATATATGTATTTTTGCAGTGAATCAGCTATGTTTACATAGCTCCTTAAATAGTATATAGTTTTTTTTTAAATGGGTGAAATGAAATAGTGACCCCGCCTGCGTTATCGGTATACACTGGCGGGGCACTAGTGATGGATGATAGGTGAGGATGAAAACAGGTCAGTTAGCACATCGTGACAAGTCCAATCATCAAGAATTAACCACGATGGTTTCCAAGGGGAACCGCGTGGAGGTCGACCTGATAGGGTATATTGTTAAAAAGGTGGTTGTTAGACCCCATTACTAACAATCCCTTCCCCCCACATAGTTATAGTTAGGACATAGTTCCCCTGGACATTGCTGGCTAAGAAAAAAGTCATTATCCATTTAAAATTTGCCTTTCTTTTTCATAAATTGCATAAATCCGACCTGCCAACCAATCATGGCAACTACTGGCAAAACACCCGATTTGGTAAATTCTATATTCACCAGTCGACAGTTAACAGCTTATATGATTGCAATAAAACGAGAAGAGAATAGAAGTAGACGAGAACTTTGTAGAAATGTGATTCATATGAATAAGTCCCTTTTACTTATACGTTTAAGCTTCGAGTCCTATAATTTCACAGCCATATCCCAATTTACAAATAATCAAAACACAGCCATGCAAATAGCTGCTTTGCGCTAAAACACAAACACATACAAATACGCACACACGCACGCACGCACGCACGCACGCACACGCACACGCACACGCACACGCACACGCACACGCACACACACACACACACACACACACGCACACGCATACAAACACACCCATACTTATATACTTTACCCTTATAGACAGCTTTAGTACAAAGTCTTTGTCTACACTTTTCTACACAAAAATCTCGCTACTGGGTAATAAATTATTAAATACAAAAAAAAACATTTTAAATATTAATTAATGATCTGTTCATTTAACGGATAATGGAGGACATAAACATTTCCTTTAAATTCTTGAATTAATTCTTCATTAGCATTTCTACGTAACCGTTTGAACTTTCATTTTGGTTTACAGCGAAGTGATAAATATACATACATATATAATACAAAATACATAAAACCTTTTCGGGCACCGTGTAGCATTACAGCTACAGCAGATAATAAGCGACATCAGGGGCCGTCCTAAATATTTTATACGTGGAGCATCAACCGCAAGCCGCACCGTTTATATATCATGTAATGACCCACGCTCCCTGGACGAGACTGTGTGCGACACTGCGGCTCACAAGGACATATATCCCACTAGAACATACCTCCTATTTAAGGAATATTTTCGAAATGTTACACACACTAACACATGGTGTCTTTTTATATAAAAACTATTTAGAATGAAAAAGAATATGAGATACTTTTTCCGTTTTTCTTTTTACGTGTGGTCCCAGTATAGAATGGGCCGCCCTTTCCTTTACAATGGATGTCGTAAAAGGCGACTAAGGGAAGGCGAGGGATGGACAGCAGCGACGAAATTATATTTTGATAAAGATAAATTCAGGTCAATTAGCCCATGGTTCCCTTCAAATACTATGGTGGTGTCCAGAGCGAACCATGGGCCTCACATGATCTCGCCAGCGTATACCAAAAGCGCGGGCTTAATTACTATCACCAATTAAAAACACCTTAATGTTTTTTTTTTATACAACTTAGAATAGCAAACAAGCTGACGGCCCACCTGATGGAAAGTGGTAACCGTCGCCTATAGACATAAGCAGTACCATGGACATAACAGAGTATACTGTTTCGCCCATGATACCCCCCATGCGTTGCTATTCGTGAGGACTCAGATGTTATTCCTCTGTATCCAGTAAATTCACGCCATATCCCACCCTTCAAACCGAAACACAGTCATACAAACGCAACTGCTTCACGGTTGAAACACGAATGGGTCAGAGGTACCCAAGCAATCGACTTTTGTACAAAGTCTCCCTCTGTTAACTAATGGAACCAAATCTCTCTCTCTATAAACAGAGAATCACCACTCTGGTAAAGAGTTATATTTCTGTTGCACTGATGTATTGTGTTATATTCCCTTAGTCTTCTCTTGACGTTTCTATAATTAAAATGAGAAGTACTAATTAGGTTAATTAAGCTCAACCATAGAAATTCTATGACAGACTAAGCAATAACACGCGTCATAAGAAGCAGAAAACTTCATATATTGGATAATTACTTAGCCAGGATAAATATCACGTTCTGCACGTGATTATGATGGGCAGAACTGCTGGCAAGACAAGTGTCGGTCGTAGAAAAAAATCTTAGCATCGCAATGTCCAGAAAAGAAAGGGCATTGTGAATGCAGCCGAATTATTCCATCTCGCAAGATACAAGGACAGATTCCGTGAGCTGGTAGCCAACCTTTATTAGTTGGAAAGCCACTATAAGAAGAAAAAGCTCAACTAGAAACTACTAATGTTATAAGTAAGATATATACCTCATTACATACTCCACTAACCCTTTCTACCCCCATTATTTCAGTGTCGTTAGCCATCAATAATTCATCGTGCCCTGTGAGTTATAGTCCGTACGATCTCCCTGGATTTCCTCTCGCTTTCCACGTGCTAAGCCGTCGCACTTACGTTGAAAATATTTGCTCGCTGTTCCTTAGTTTTGAGGCTAAACTACTGCCTCTATAGTTTTATTAAATTATAATTACTATCTCTCTCTCTCTCTCTTCGTCCTCTTCATACCAAGGATATGATGTGCGCGTTGCCAAAAGAACAGCCAATAAAAAGAATTTAAACTAAAAATATTTTTAATAATACATAAAAAAAAACAACACGAAAGCTAAAAAGCGCGGTATGTTTTATTTAAATTACAAAAGGCCGAGAAATCGTCTATAATATATCCCATTAATTTTCAACATTCCAAAGACTGGGATACGGGCCTTCACTTTCTTCGCCTCGTCTTCACTCAAGTTCGTATCATCTGTCTCCAAATTATCTCCGTCTGGTGATGGATCATTCAGCAAAGTCATCGCTTGCTGCTCGTTTAGAACAGTTAATTCGGCACTATTTTCTTTAATTTCCTTAATCCTGAGGAAAAAAAATTGATAATTTTACATTTCATCATCGTCATCATTTTTTTTATACAACTTAGAATGACAAACAAGCTGACGGCCCACCTGATGGAAAGTGGTACCGTCGCCTATAGACATGAGCAGTACCATGGACATAACAGAGTATACTGTTTCGCCCATGATACCCCCCATGCGTTGCCATTCCTGAGGATTCAGGTGTTATTCCTCTGTACCCAGTAAATTCACGCCATATCCCACCCTTCAAATCGAAACACAGCCATGCAAACACAACTGCTTCACGGTTGAAACACGAATGGGATAAAGGTACCCAAGCAATCGACTTTTGTACTTTTCCTACCATTATCCCAATTCAGTCGACATAACTTTCATTTTTTAGTTTTTTAATACTTAGGTATTCTGCTATTCGGAACACCGGGTCAGCTAGTAAGATAAAAAAAGAAAAAAGATAGTTAATAATTACATTATGTCAAAAAATAAAAATTATAAAACACGCCGTGCCACGTCACTCAATTGTTTTGCCTTCCCGGAACCTCTCCACTAACACTTGAACTTTATGGTATGGTATTAAAGTTCAAATTGAATTTTAAGTATTATTACAAAACGTTTATATGGGAGTATAGAAAAGTATTGTTTTTAGGCTTTTTAAGAACCATCCTCGTACTTCAAGAAATAACATCTGAGTCCTCAGGAATGGCAAAGCATGAGGGGAATCTTGGGCGAAACAGTATACTCTGTTATGTCCATAGTACTGCTCATGTCTATAGAAAACGGTTACCACTTTCCATCAGGTGGGCCGTCAGCTTGTTTGCCATTCTAAGTTTTATAAAAAAAAAAAAAAAAAAACTTGTTTACTATTCTAAGTTGTATAAAAAAATATTCTAAAAAAAAGAATTAACGAAATCGGTTTAAGTGTTCTCGAGATTTGCGCTTAGCAACACATTCGGCGATTCATTTTTATATTACAGATTAATTGCTTAACTTATGTTACGTCGAATTACGTCTATAGACTTAATGAAACATCTACACTGTGACATCCAACATGGGATAATTTTTATCCTAATTCAATACAATTCCAATCATCCAACTAGTATTAGTAATTCTACGATATTAAAATACTATGCATTCGAATATTTTTTATATAGAAAATGTAAATACAACTATTTACTTGGGAACTCACTTAATAAGCATCATAAATAAATCTTTTGTTATTAAAATCACATAACATGACTTATTTGAATATTATTGTAAGATTTCAAAGCTTCTATATGAAAATTAGTTGCATATTGCATTTATTATCCATAATGGAATCACGTATATCATGGCTTTAGTGCATCGTGAGAATATTTCTAAACACATTAATTTTTATTACTTTCTCTAATGTGTGTGCGTGTGTGCTTATGTGCATGTGTATATTATATACATATATGTAAAGTTAGTATTACGCAGTACCCCACATATCATTTTATATATATATATATATATTAAATATTATAAATAATAAATTGCTTTTCTAATAATACATGCATATTAACCACTCCTTACTCTGCAGTAATAATAAAAAAAGGAATAACATAGCGTAGTAACTACTGACAAAACCCCCCCAAAAAGAGGAAGCCTATGTTCAGCAGTTGACAGTTAACGGAAGATTTTTTTTCACAATACAGGGCAAACGAGCATGCGGCTCACCTGATGCTAAGTGACTACCGCCGCCCATGATCGCCCACAACACCAACGGCATTGTAGGTGCGCTGCCGACCATTTAAAAAGGAATATACTCTTTTCTTGAAGGTTAAGTTGTCGTATCGGTTCGGAAATACTGCTGCTGGAAATTGATTCCAAAGAGTGGTTGTGCGTGGAAAAAAGTGCCTTGAAAAACGCACGGTGGAAGACCGCCACTCGTCCAGATGGTTAGGATGAAACTTTAGTTTATGGCGGGTTGTACGGTGGTGAAAATCAGCAGCAGGTATCAATCCGAACAATTCCTCAAAGCACTCCCCATGATAAATGCGGTAGAAGATGCACAGAGATGCAACATCTCTGCGCAGTTTTAATAGGTCGAGTCGCACAGTAAGGCGCTGATTATCAATAATTTAAATGATATGCATCATCATATCATTATCAATATAATTATAATTATAAATAGGAAAGACTTGATTGTTATAATGACTTAACTAAAAAACTATGCACTCAATTTAAAGATTCTACCACCTATAGAAAGCTACATTACCAGCCAGTAACATAAGCTGTATATTATTTAGAAATTTCTATCTACCCGTGCGAAACCGGGCCGGATCGCTAGTCTTAAGAATAAGCAAAATTCTTTCTTATTAGTTTCCATGAATTTGTTTGTTTGTCATTGTTAATAAGTGTATATTTTATGCTATCAATTAAGTAACATGTAAAAATGTAAAAAGTTATATCTCAATATAAATAATAATATGCCACGAAATAGTCGGAATTGTTCTTTGCAACAGACTATGAGAGAGGCATCACATAAAAGTTTATCTGGATATCTCTATCAATCTTAGATCGTCTATCTTATTTAGTCCATAAGGTTTGAGGTAGACTGCAGTATTAAACGGCATACCAAACACTGCAGACTACCCTCAAACTATACATAATAGCTTAATATAACAGGTTATGATGGGGGGGGGGGGGCAAGGGATTGTTAACAATGGAGTCCAGCCCCATTGCTAGCAATACAGGTCGGGTCGACCTCACGTGATACCCTCTGGAAGCCATCATGGTTAATTCTAGTACAATTCGTTACGATGGACAAATTGACCTGCTTTCATCGTCACCTATTACTCCACTGGTACCCCGCCAGCGTATACCGATAGCGCAGGTGGAGTAACCATTTCATTATCGCCTATTAAAAACACATAACCTCGTATCAAAAAAAAAGAGGATAGGACGCCCAAATAAAAGTAAATCTAATTTTAAAAAAAGGGGGAAAGGAATTGTTAGCAATGGAGTTTGACAGCCCCATTGCTAGCAATATATCTTATTAGGTCGACCTCCACGTGGTTCTGGAAACCATCGTGAACAATTCTTGTTGAATTCGTCACGATGGGCTAACTCACCTACTTCATTTTCACCTATCACCCTTCACTGGTGCTCCGCCAGCGTATCCCGATAGCGCAGGTGAAGTAACCTTTTCACTATTTCGCCCATTCACCTTTTCGCCCATTAAAAAAACATAACCTCGTATCAAAAAAAAGAGGATGGAATGCCCAAATAAAGGTAAATCTAACTTTAAAAAAAAGTCTCATACCCACGTGGCATAGAGGTTGACTGTTTCTCCTTATTTTTCATTTCGTCGAGGAAATGCTGCGCTGCCTTGCCCGCAATATCATTGGCCAATTCCTTCAGATATTTCGAAGACAATACAGACTTGAAAATGTCAATCACTTGTTCCGGCTTCAGTTTGATTATCAAAGGGGATTCGTTAGCATCTGTTAAGACATTCAGCGAACAAAACAAGAGAATAGTCGTAAACATTATTTTTTAATAGGAATCAGCCATTAATTTCAATGTTATCAGCTTTACTTCACTAGTTATTGTTACCGGCTTTGACATTATGTGAAATTTATTTGTTTTACTAACTATAAATACTCATGGGGGAAAGGAATTGTTAGTGACATTTAACAACTCCATTGCTAGCAATATTGCTATCAGGTCGTCCTCCACGCGGTTTCCCCTGGAAATCATAGTGGTTAATTCTTATTCACCTTCTCACTGTCACCTGTCACTTTTCACTGGTGCCCCAGCAGCGTATACCGATAGCGCAGGCGTGGCTACCATTCCATCTTCACCCATAAAAAAAAATATATATACTCAGGTATTACTCAGGTCAGGAGTGTAGTCCACTAGCAAACTGTCTGATTCAAGAGTAAGGACACATGGGTAAGAGACCTCGCCCACCTGAGTCACTGCAGTTTCTGAAAAATATTCTGTCCACAACTGCAATATTCCCCTTTCCCTGATCATCATAAATCCTTCATTATTTTTTTCTTTCGTTAATTTAAAAGGAGAGATAACGGATTACACGAGAGTGAATCCGAAGAAAGCTAGTTTATAATAATAAAGTTATTTAAAACTAAGTACCTACATATATAACATATGACCAGACAATCGGTAATAATGTAGATATACATACATATCGTGTAATTATTTTGGTATTTCATTTATTTAATCGATGAAATTTAATTGAGTGTATAATTAAATTGTACAGTTAAAACGTAAGTAATGCTGGCTTCTGCTTAGTAGTTCGAATGATTTAACCATATCTTTCTATTTCAACGACTATAAAAAGGACTACGCTCTCAATAATGCCATATCTTAGTTAATTTTTTTTTTATTTTTATTAAATATCAAAAAGAAATAGTTTGTCAATTCGACCGTGCCATATATACAGGCAAATTATATACTAGAGGGAGACTTTGTACAAAAGTCGTTTGCTTGGGTACCTTTGTCCCATCCGTGTTTCAACCGTAAAGCAGTTGTGTTTGCATAGCTGTATTTCGGTTTGAGGGTACAGAGGAATAACACCTAAGTTCTCAGGAATAGCAACGCATGAAAGATATCATGGGCGAAACAGTATACTCTGTTTACAGCTTGTTTGCTATTCTAAGTTGTATAAAAAATCGATATTTCAACTCCTTTTATAAATATTTCAAAGGAAGTTATTTAATTATTCATTAAGATACAAGCTCGGCCTAGTTCGGTGGCTAGTAGATTTTACCGAAATATACATATATATACATATATATACATATATATATATATATATATATATATATATATATATATATATATATATATATATACACTTGCGTGTGTGTGTCATAGAATTATTTAGAATTAAGAAGAATATAAGCTAATTTTTCTATAGTCGTAAAAGGCGACGAAGGGAGGCCGAGGGTGGGACAGCAACGTCCCTCTTCAAAAAATGTCCAAAGCCTAACTGCAGTTGTCAATATATCGTCATAGTCGTAGAATACTGACAGATCTATATATGTAATATTTGTCAGATCCGTCAGTATTCTACGACTATGACGATATGATATTCATATAAGTGGAATATATTTAAAAAATATATATATTATTAAGAATCTTAATTAAAAAACCAATAAATGTTACAAAAATGTTTTTTTGAAATGTTGCCCGCCCTTTATATGTTTATGCTGGTATCACGCAAAAATTACTGTACCAAATTGGATGCAATTTCCACAGTTATATTATTATAGATCTAGCTTAAAATCGTATGTATATTTTGTCTTGATACGCCATCTAGTGTTTAATTTGATTAGTTTCCCTATTTCTATCTAAATAAATCTAGTATAAAATAATCGAATCTCTTTAACACAAAATATATAAAGTTGTTTTACTAAGATACAAAATTGTACATAGTACCACCAGTTACCACTTTCCATCAGGTGGGCCGTCAGCTTGTTTGCCATTCTAAGTTGTATAAACAAATCTAAGTATACCTACAGGTTAATATAACATGATATTTTTAACGATATATCTGTAAACACTCTTATTTTGCCTCTATTTTTCTATAGACATTTCCATTTCTTCCAATCTGTACTCATGTATCTCTATATTATAGGTTCATCGGTTTCCATCGAATCTTACCTCTATCTATTTTGAAATTTGATCGTACTGATATCGATTCATACCGACCATACACGCTACGATAAATCGCTACACACATATCTGTATAGGTCAATATACTATTAATGTAACAGTTTCTAAAATAGTTTATATGTTGCCATGATTTTTTTTATACAACTTAGAATGGCAAACAAGCTGACGGCCCACCTGATGGAAAGTGGTAACCGTCGCCTATAGACATGAGCAGTACCATGGACATAACAGAGTATACTGTTTCGCCCATGATACCCCACATGCGTTGCCATTCCTGAGGACTCAGATGTTATTCCTCTGTACCCTGTAAATTCACGCCATATCCCACCCTTCAAACCGAAACACAGCCATGCAAACACAACTGCTTCTCGGTAGAAACACGAATGGGACAGAGGTACCCAAGCAGTAGACAAAATAAGTTTGGGGACCCTTGATCTAGGCGATTTGTCGTCACGTGAATGGCGAGCAAAAACTACCAAACTCGAGTGGTATATTCCAATTGGTCCCGCTATACAATATCGACCAATACGTTTCCCATAACCCATAGCTTCCTCTTCAATAATTGATAGCAAGGTATTCAATAGCGGTTACATGTGCATTATTAATTTCGTTAGAAAGCCTTCCGATATCCGTCTCTAAATAGAATTCCGTTATTAGTCTACATTAGTTTATTAGCTAAGTTCTCTTCGAGTGATACTTGACTGAATACATGTTTTTATATCACTTTTTTTAGGTATTTACATGTGTTTGCTATAATTTTGAAGATTTTTTAGGTTTACTGAATAAAATGTTCTCAATTTTACTCGACTAAAGTTATTATATTTATATACAAAATATGTTTAGAGTTAGAGAGTATAAATATATATATACAGTGGATTAACAGGGTACAGAAGCATAACTCCTTAGTCCTCAGGAATGGCAACGCATGGGGGTATCATGGGCGAAACAGTATACTCTGTTATGTCCATGGTACTGCTCATGGCTAGGCGACGGTTACCACTTTCCATCAGGTGGACCGTCAGCTTGTTTGCCATTTGAAGTTCCATAAAAAAAAAGTATTTACCCATATATAAAAAAAACATCTGTAAACACATTTTCTCAGATCTTAGCTCAGCCGACACTACCTTCAGATTCTAGCTACATTTATTGCTTAATGTACAATACAGGACACCGTGAACACATGTCCAAGAGAAACATTCCCAACAATACCGGGCTCATTAACTTTTATTGGTATTAGCCCACTACGGCTCTGTGGATTGACGTTAGGAACAGTCTGTGTCCATTGTACACAATACTCGTATTTACTTATCTGCTCAAAAATTTAACGGTATAAATTGATTAAAACTAATATTTAAAAATTTATTAATTAAAACATAAATTAAAATGAAATATTTCGGGCAATTTTTGCATAAACGAAAACAATTAATTTCACGCCGGCTGTTGGAAACCTCCGGTGACCAGAAGGCTGGCCTATACTTTGGTCAACGCATTTCCATTGCTATTCAGCGTGGAAATGCAGCAAGTATAGGCACCCTACCAGCAGGCAGTGATCTCAAAGATAATTTTTAATTTTAATTTTTTTTAAATTACTTGTACTTTATATTATTATGATGTTAATTAAAGAACATCTTATATTTGAAGTAGGTTGAAATTGCTTTAGTTTAGTCACATAATTTTCTAACAATATTATGTTATTTCTTAGACTTTATTATCTAATTAATTCATTTCATACGAATTTTTATATTTTATATATCTATTATTTCTTTTAATTCTATGCTTAACATTTCTTATAACTAATTTTCTAAACAGATAATTATACCGGAGTGAAAAATAAAATTAAGATTACATTATTAGACAGACATTATTTTTGGCAGTTGATACTCTCTGCCTACGCCATAGCTTGCGCGAAAAAAAAAGTAAGCGAAAAAAGGTAATGATTTGTGAAAGCGAAACATAGTCCTACATGATTGCCCATATGCAAAAGCTTCAAATTACTCGGAGAACTATGGAGAGGGCTATGCTAGGAGTTTCTTTGCGTAACAAAATCCGAAATAATAATATCAGCAAATAACAAAGCGCAAAGGCTAAACAGGTAGCAGCAATGGGCTGGTCACATGGCTCAAAGAACCGACAATATAATCGGGGAAAAATGTTCTTAAGTAGCGACCCAGTACGGGCAAACGTAGTGTAAGACAACTTCCCACTAAATAGAGTGACGACCAAAAATGCATTGCAGAAACTTATTGCATGCAAATGACTCAAGACCGTTCCTTATCGCAGTCTATATAGAAAGCCTATATTGAGCAGTGAACACACAATGGCTGAGATGATGATGATGAAGCGAAAAAAATTATTACAATTATATTTTCTTCATAATTTTACATGAGCCTGTTGCAGTCAAAACTCTAAACCAGTCAAAAATACTATTGACTAGCAAAATCAGTCAAGAGTACTTTTGACTGAACAGGTTGGTAAAAGAGGTTTTGACTGAAAATTATTGGTTATTTTTTCTTTGACTGCAAAGCGGATAGGTTTTTTTTGTAATGGGTGATAATGGAATGGTAATCCCACCCGCGCTATCAGTATACACCGGCGATAGGTGAGGATGAAGCAAGTCAGTTAGCTCATCGTGACGAATTCAATAAGAATTGTTCACGATGGTTTCCAGGTGGAACCACGTGGAAATCGACCTAATAGGGTATATTGCTAACAATAGGGCTGTTAATCTCCATTGCTAACAATCCCTTTCCCCCTGCAATTTTTTTTTTGATGGTTGAAAATGGTATGGTAACCCCGCCCGCGCTAACGGGATACGCTGGTGGAGCACCAGTGAAAGGTGATAGATGAGAATGAAAACAGGCCAGTTAGCCCATCATGATGAATTCATCAGGAATTAACCATGATAGTTTCCAGG